AGAAAATCTTAGTAAGAGTCAAAAAGTTTAAAATAATTAAAAAGTTTATAAAGTAAAAATGTGACAGTAAGCTAAGGTTAATTTATTATTGAAGAAAGAAAATTTTTTAATAAATTTGGTGAAGCCTGAGTGTACAGTTATGTGTAATGTCTCTAGATAGTAATGTACAGTAATTACGCCTTCACATTCACTCCCCACTCACTCACTGACTCACCGAGAGCAACTTCCAGTCCTGTAAGCTCCATGGTAAATACCCTATAGAGATGTACCACTTTTTATATTTTATACTGTATTTGCACTATACCTTCTCTATGCTTAGATTTGTTTAGCTACACAAATACTTGCCATTGTGTTACAGTTGCCTGCAGTGTTCAGTGCAGTAGCATACTGTGCAGGTTTTTAGCCTAGGAGCCATAGGCTATGCCATATAGTCAAGGTTTGTAGTAGACTATGCCATCTAGATTTGTGCAGATCCAATCTGTGATGTTCACACAATGGCACAATTGCCTCTTGTGGAGTCAGAGAGGTGTTAATGAGGTAGAAGGATCAGCTAATTTGTAGTTAAAAGGCCTGGGTTCTGGTCCCACCACTTCTGGTCCCCTGGTTTTTGACCTTGGGCCATTTTCTTAACCTTTTGGGGCCTTTTTTTCATTTACATATTAAAGAGATTAAAATACATTAGTGTTCCTCAATCTTTGACTCACAAATCTCTCTTATAGTAATGTATAATCTTGTGAACTCCTCTGGGATTTAGAAACTAATTTTGTCATTTCGTGGCATGTGAGGCTTGATTTTAAGTAGAAAGTATTTATTTTATATCAGTATATTAATATATTCTTTGATATACATGCATTTTGAAAAATTGTCTACATTATACCATTCAATAATTACTATTTAATTTAAATTGGTGTGTAGGAAAAATAAAATATTGTACTTCCTTTGCTGGGGAGGAGGGAAGCCAAATGTTTTCTAGCATTAAAAAAATTTTTTTAATAACTAAATTTTGAAATTTCTACATTTTAGTTTTAAAAAGATATACTAGTTTATTTTTATAATTTTTGCGTTTTTGCTCTACATGATGAGAAAGTTTAGGCTGTTTGCAAGAAATTGTCTGTAAATAACATGCTGTTGAAAGAGATAGTGTTTTCCCTCTTATATATGAAAAGCCAACTTGAATTATAATCACTAAACTTTTACCTTGTTTTTTTGGTGTTCTAGAAACATATTGGTGCATTTTATATAATCTTATAATTTGATGAGTGAGGGTGTGGAATGAATTTCACTTTTGTATCTAGCAAAGAGCATATTTAGATGGATTTGTAAAATTACTCTTTTTCTGTTTATTAGCACAGTATTCCCTGAGCTTCCCATTTTTAACCAACAGCCTATTATGTATATGAATTAAGCAACCTATTAATACATGTGACTAAAAAGAAAAACAAGTAGAAACTGTATAATCAAAACCATGCAATGATACAGAGTTGACTGAGTGAGTAGTGAGTTCACTTAACTGGTTTCCACTAACCCTATATGTGTTGGGTGGAAGACCCTTATAGCATTCTATTTTAAAAATAGGATATTAGGGAGTGGGCAAGGAAAAAATAGGATATTAGAATAATTTGTTGAAATTAATAACTATATTTAAATTTCACTTATAATTCCCAACTATCTTGGAACATCTGGAAATTTAATAACCACTTATTGATAAATACTGTGTTAAATGATCTTGAAGTTCCATATAACATAACTTGCAAATTGGTTCAGACTTATGGTTCTATCTATTCCACTCTTTCTGATAGAGAATGAGTCACAGTTGTAGCAAGGGTACACTGCTATTATACTTCTCAGTGACAGAGAGTGCTCCCCAAGCTTCCTGGTTTCCATTAACAGGCAATCGTGAACTTCTCACCTCTGAATTTATGCCTTTGGGAAAATATTTTATATGTTCTGCCTTTTAGAGCAAGACGTACTTTTAATAAAGGTGCTACTTTTTAGGGGAAATATGTTTGTAGGTTTACTGTGTATGTGCAAATTAGTAATTCCTTTGATTAAAAATAAATTAGTGCTCCTTCTGGCAATTTGATGAAAAAGTCTGTGCTAACCCCTCATAGTTGGATTATAAACATTCTTAGCTTTTCTTTTGCCAAGTTGAATACTGTGCTTTTTGTCTGTTCTTATATAGCAGACTTCCCATGTACATCCCATCGTACATCACGGACTATTACTGAACTCATGTGTAACCTGGTCACATTCCCTAATCTTTCTGAGCCTCAATATCTCCATCTATGAAAAGGAGAAGGTCGTACCTACCAGTGATAAGGGAAACCCCCATCTATTACTTGGCTCATCAGGCACCGTAGACCCCCACCACTCTCAGAAGACCAACATCAGCATAATACTAACCTGTTACCCATCAACTAGTCTATTGCCCGGCATCAGCATAACACTGAATCTATTGCCTTGCCTAGTGCTTCAACATAATATTAACCTATTATTACCTGGCACATCAACTAACCTACATCTGATACCGTACCCCTCGGACCATCCCAACTTAATGAAAGTGGGAAAAATCAGGTAGACAGTGTTCAGAATTTAGTGGTGAGGACCCTCTGAGCCCGCCGGCAAATAAACTTTGATTCTCCGACTCTCCGTGTGCTGCTCAGTTTGTCCTCGGGACCACCCGCTGTAACACTAGAGTTGAGAAGATTGAATAAGATAATCTATACAGTGTTTAACACTGTACCTGGATTATGGTAAATGCTGCTTAAATTTTAGCTGCCATTATCATCATCATCAATTCCCAATTTCCAAACCTGTGAGCCCTGTCCCTTAGAGGGTGTAGGAACAGCGGATTTTTTTCAAGGGGTTCCATGTATCCATAGGCTCAAAAGAATGTTTGTAAACCGAATAAGTAACATGACTCATGTATATAACTGACTTTTTCAAATAAATCTAGATGATATTATGAATAATAAAATGCAGATTCATTTAAAATTGGTAAAGATTTCATAATAACTTTTTAATATTTTTCTTAATTCATAAACTCTAAGAGTTAAATTTACTTTTTTAATGTTAAAAGACAATCCACAAGCTTGTAATGGTTGAGCCCCATTGTCTTTAGCTATCTATTTATCTATCTATCTATCTATTTATTAATTAGTGACAGGGTCTTGCTCAGTCACTCAGGCTAGAGTGTACATTGGTGTAATCATAGCTCACTGCAGCTTCGTGTTCTCGGGCTCAAGCAATCCTCCTGCCTCAGCCTCCTGAGTAGCTGGGACTACAGGTACATGCCATTACACCTGGCTAATTTTTTATTTTTTGTAGGTATGGTCAGGGGTCTCGCTAGGTTGCCCAGGCTGGTCTTGAACTCCTGGCCTCAAGCTGTCCTCCAGTGTTGGCTTCCCAAAGTACTGGAATTACAGGCATTAGCCACTGTGCTTGGCCCATCTTTATCATTTAGTGTCTTCTATGGACTTTTTCCAATTTTATTATGCTTGCTTTTGAGGTTTGACGATCCAAATCATATGGTAGATTTAAAATGCACCACAACTTCATCCAATGTTTTGATAACATTTTCTTTTTTACTTCTCGTATACTAACTGATGGCATTAAATTATTTGTTGGCATTTGGTTAAAAGTCATAATATGAACTGATGCTAGAAGCATCGGGCATGGTTCTTGCCTACTTTGTACTGGGCAGTGATTTTGGTGCTCCTCACTAGATTTGTGTGTGAAGAGGTAGGCATCTGTCCTTTATGCTTCAAAAATTCCCCGAAATAGTGTATGTTATACTTTTATTCAGCTTCTCTTGGTTGCAAGTGACAGAAACCCAACTGAAATTAACTTAGGTAAAATGAAGATATTACTGTAAGAATTCCAAAGCAAAAGGTTCCACAGCCAAACCATGGCAAAGGCAGATACAGCTGGGCTTCACGGATCCAGACACTGCGGAACAGTCTCCCTCAGCCTCCTGTCTCTGCTGACAGACCTTCCTCACAGGTTGAGGAACAGGGCTGCTGCAGAGTGAACTGAGCCATGCTTTCCCCATATCTGTGTCCAGAGCTAGGGGAAAAGTTTTGATTGGCTTTGTTTATGTCAGGTGTCCACTGCTGGACCAATCAACTATAACCAGAAAGGTGGGATATCAAAGTGGCCCAGCTCGGGTCAGGTACCAGCTGCACATCAATCCGGAGTATCACAACTGTCCAGGGGAATCACGTGGTTAGAGTACAGAGAGGGTCATATTCTAGAAGATGTGCAGCAGAACAGTAGTTGTCCTCTATATCGTCTTTGTGATTCTTGGTTCCTTACACATTCTTCCAATTGACTACTATGTGAGTTCTTGGAGGAAGATAAATTAATTTTGTTCAATTCTGTATCTCCAGGCCTAGGACAGCATCTGTTGCACGTATTTAATAAGTTAAGAACTAATGAATTAATATAATACATTATGGTATACAAAGTGATTATGTAAGATTTTGTCATGTCTTGTCATGTCATGTCCTATCTAGTGAAGTGACCTAACAGGTCCGAGTTCTAGTTCTGGCCTGTTCATTTATGAGTCAGCAAACTCTGAGTTTCAGTCTTTTCTCCTGTGAAATGGAGAGTATCCGTATTCTGACAGTCCCCATTTAGAGAAGGAGTTTGCACTGGTAGTAAAAATTACTAGATTATGTGCATGTAAAAATTAAATGCATTTTTCAAGGTTTGCTGTGTATTTATCATTGCCTTACTTGTGGACCAGAAAATACAAGGTTATTTTGGCCAAAACCGATGGAAATATCTCATTTTAGTGTTTGTTCAGCTCTGTTCAGAGGGGCACATATAATACATTTATCTTCTGGTTGGGGTATATAGGCCTTAATTTTAGTATAAAAATGTTTTAGTTCTTGATAGTAATTCCCATGGATTAATCTCCTCTCCAAATGGTTGATAAGGAGATAAAATCTCACTGAACATTTCATTGTGTCCCTTTTTTTGTTTTTACTGGTTTTTAGGTTTTTGTCAAGCAGGCAAGGATTTGCGTTTGGTATCATTGTGTATGGAACAAATCGACATCCCAGCGGGATTCCTCCTGGTGGGAGCCAAGTCTCCCAATCTTCCTGAACACATCCTAGTTTGTGCCGTAGACAAGCGATTTCTACCAGATGATCATGGAAAAAATGCACTTTTAGGTAAGTATTTCATGCCTATAGAATTCCTTTCAAGATGAGGGAGTTAAAATACACATTTATTTAAAATTATCACAGAATTTTAAAAAATATATCACAGAATTACCTGGAGAGTATATAGTATAATTATAAAAATTTTTTTCTTTTAGTAACTTCTTAAAATTTATTTTTTATTATTTATTCTCAAAACACTTGCCTTAATTAAAAGATTTTTTGATGAGACATTAAGATAGCATGCAATTAATCAAAAATTAATATTTTATAAAATAAAGTAGAATTTACTGTCTAGAGTCATTGATTTGGACCTGATGTCAAGTCAACTCTCAATTATTCATCTGTGGATTATCTACTTTGTAACTTATTTGTCGTTTTTTCATACCACCCATTATTCCTATCTGTACTTGTTTTGTTTTTTTTTTAATAGACTGAATGGGTCTGTGGAATGTACTTGTTTGATGTGATTCTTATTTTATATTTAACATTAATTCACTCAAAATAACTAGGATTGAATTTATATGTATACATATATACATGAGATGTAAAATGTATAACTTTATCTCAGAATTGTTTTACTTTCTGGTATTAGAATTTGGGCTTTTTTACAACATAGCTTCCCTAATCCTGGGAAATAACAAAAATGGATTTATTTTTGATTCTTTTAAATAATTAAAAAGATAAGAGGGAACATGAGATCTGTTGCTTTTTTTTACTGCTATGCTTCTCTACAGTTATTTATTTATATACTTTTTGAGACAGGATCTCACTCTGTTGCCCACGCTGGAGTGCAGTGGTATCATCATAGTTCACTACAACCTCAATGCCTGGGCTCAAGCAACCCTCCTGCCTCAGCCTCCTAAGTAGCTGGGACTACAGGCACATACCACCATGCCCAGCTAATTTTTCTATTTTTTGTAGAGGCAGGGTCTTGCTCTTGCTCAGGTTGGTCTCAAACTCCTGGCCTCAAGCAATCCTCCTGCCTTGGCCTCCCAAAGAGCTGAGATTACAGGCATGTGACACAGCATGTCAGCCTTCGAATTGTTTTCATTTCTCAGAATTTTTTTTACTGTAGATGGAATCAGATAGATGTTTTAGGCACAAATATCAGGGAAAAGGAAAAAGAGAGAAGAGGGCAAAGAATTCAGATATTGTATTGATCATGAGGTGTATTTGTTTGTTTAATTTGACACAATCTTCCTAGTTATAGAATGTCATCAGAAAGTCTAGAAATACATCAATCAATATTTTGAATCAGAAAGTGACCCTGCATATGCTTTATAAAGGTTCCTTAAATTATATTTCAAAGACTTCTCTTGGTTCATAGGAAAAGAAGTGATAATTTTCATTTTCCTTAAGGCTCTCATAAAAAAAGAGTATGTTCATTTTATTTTTTGAGTAAAATTTAACAGATGGTTTGATATAGAATTTTAATGATAAATCATATACATTGGACTAAATTAGCAAAGAAGTTCCAATTATTCATTTGTTCATTCATTCATTTGTATTTATTCACAATGTATTGTATAACAGAAATCAAGCTAGGCTATAATATAGGGGCAAAAAATTTAGAAGTCTCAGTTCTTTTCCTCACAGAGTGTACAACCTAGTAGCCTATGACAGAATGACTTTAGAAAACTTTTTAGCATTTTAAAAGCTTCATAGTCTCATCTAATGAAACAGTTAAAATGTGGCTCTGACTACAGACATTGAAAATCTCTCATAAGGCCTTTTTGGTAAGTGATTCTTTGTGACTAGAGAATCCTCTTAGACCATATCATGGAAAGGACACAGAAAACACCATCAGAATAATAGATCTCATAATCCTTTGAAATCAGGAAGGTGAGACCAGAGACCATGGGCTTTGGAATCAGAACTAGGTTTAAATCCCAGAATTGCTACTTAGTACTTTTAAGAACTCGAGCAAGTGTTTTAAGAACTTGAAATCTCAGATTCCTATGATGGGGCCAATAATTCCCTATCCTGTAGTGTTGTAAAGATCAAATGAGACAATGTTTGTAAAGCACCCATCCAACACAGTGCCTGGGACATCATGCTTTCACTTCAAATGATAGTTATTTTGCTGTTGCACTTATTAGATACCCTTACAGACTTGGAACTTTGCTTACTTTCTCTAGCCTTGCAAATGGACTTAAGTTTCAACAGCCACTTCTCATGTAAAAATATAGTGCAGCAACAAAATGGTAGAAGGTCTTTCTTAGATAAGCACAGTGTTGCAATTTTTACATGTTCAGTACTCTATTGTCCAAAAGCTAATATTCATCCAACATTTCTTACTTATGGTGGATGATTTTAATATGCATTAAGATATAGTGGGGAAATTTTTAAGCTTCAGCTATTTTAGAATCCCTGTGGACTCCAATATCAATTTGTCTAAATTTTTATATAAATTATACAGATTCCAAAGACTGTGGGGGAGTTGATTAAAAAATATATTGATCCAGTTGGCAGTGCATATACCCCAAATCTACCATGCAATTGGAAGACTTGATTGCCAGAAAAACTAGAAAGGTAACTGGGCTGTAAGAGGTGTTATTTTTTGTGTTCAATGATAGCGAGAACTTTGAGCAGATAAATCTCCCTTGAACCACGGCTAATGTTGAAATGATATGGAGTTTCAAAAATGGACTTTAGGATTATAACACTTTCATATTGTTAACTAATCAGTAATGTGAAGGTTTTCTTCTTTGCAGATTATCTAGACCCCATTATTTTTTCTTCTTCTTCACATTCTTGCTTTTTACCCTGGAGAACAGACAGAGGAAAAGATTGAAAATCTTAGTAGTTTGTTAATTCTAATTCTCACACTAATTTTTTCTGAACTACTTGGACCTATCAGTTAATCCTCATTTTTTGTCACTGTTCTTAATTATTTTGGCTAAAAGGTTCTTAAAAGCTTTTTACCATGTTTTGGGTATGGTATACCTGCCTCACAGGTCAGGCAATTTTTTATCAAGGCATGGCGATCACACCAGAATGTAATTTCCACAAAGGCAAGGGCTTTGTTTAGTGCTAAAAAGCTGGTACTTGAAACAGTGCCTCCTAGCACATAGTAGAATACAAGTATTTGTTGGATGGATGGATGGATAGATGGATGGATGACTTCAGGAACTTGGTGAATTAGGCAGCCATTGACAAGCTGTTTTTTTTTTTTTTTTTGGCCTAGAACTTTAAGGTATTGGACAAATATCCAAATGCTCTCAACTACACTCCATCTCTGAATATATTTAAGTAATTTATAACATTATAGTGATGTTTACATTTCTATAAAGTGACAGTAATAAACTATTAATTCTATGTGATTGACCAGAGGTTATGACTATTTTTTCTTCACATTGTTTCTCCAGTGTTTAGCAAAATGCCTGGCATATAGCTAGATGCTCAATAAATAATTGTTGATTGAATAATAATAAATTGGACTGCCCACTTCTAAATGCTTTGAATTGATTGTCAGCATTCTGAGATTGGGATAATGTGAGATAGTCTGTCTTTAATCCTTCTGGCCTTTTTCTTCTCTCCTTATATCTTTGTTAATTATATAACAGGTTGGTTTAGGGGTTTGGAAAGAGGGGGTCACTTTATCAGTGAATTTAGTTTATGGAATGTCCCTTCTTATAAGCAACTTTTTTGTCCTGTTCATCTCTGCGACAGTAAATGTGTTACGCCCTCATCAGATATAACTAGAGGAACTAACTTTCTTACTGTCTGCCTTTCACTCTGTGTACCAAGGGAGACTGAAAGGTTGATTTTCAATAAAGCAAGGCATGGCTTTTCATCCTCCCAGCCTTCTCCATTTCTTCTTTCTATGTCCCTTGCACCAACCAGGTCACTGAACTTTTATTTTGTTTGATTCATCTAGATGAGGACTTGTTTGCGTGTTAGATCAAAGGAATAATATGCTACTTTGAATAAAGAAGTGTTAAAAGAGGAAATGGGAATCTCATGGAACCCATGTCAGAAAGTATAGCTAGATACCACAGAAATGGAAAGCCCTGAATTTGCACATCCTGGCCCATGCTCTGCTCTCCTCTCTGCAGATCAGCTTCCTCTTCACAGTTCTTTGTTTCCACACTTTAGCTTACATGTGGCTGACATAGCCCCAATTCAAATTCCAATTTTACAAAACCTTATAAATCCAGGATCCAATATCATCTGGCTGACTTTTTGTGTTGATTTCAAAATTCCGAGAGAGAGACTTTGTCCCAGATTAGGCCAAATAATGGTCCACAGTCTCCTCAGCAGTGGCCATGGAAGCAAGTTCATGTGGTAGACAGGAAAGAGAACCAGCGCTAGGACCTGCAGGTTATCTAAGAAGAGCATATGTGGAGAAGAAGTAACGGACATCTCTAGAATCAAACTTTTTCTTATATTATGTATATTATATAAATACTATCTGTTCTATTTCCTTAACCATTATCCGTTTAGAGCAGCATTTAAATTATTTCTAGTCTTTCACTATTATAAAATAACTCTGCTAAAAACATTTTGGTGCCTGTTTTTTTCCACCTTGAATCCCTTGGAATTAAGACATTATTGGATCAAAGAATGTGACCTGTTTCTATGCCTTTTATATGTAAAAGTATTGTGTCAACTTACAAGGCCACCAGTAACGTTAGTTTTCCTCATTTCAGGGTTTTCTGGAAACTGTATCGGCTGTGGAGAAAGAGGATTTCGGTATTTCACGGAATTTTCCAACCACATTAACTTGAAGCTCACCACCCAGCCAAAGAAGCAGAAGCACTTAAAGTACTACCTAGTCAGAAGCTCCCAGGGTGTACTGTCGAAGGGACCTCTCATCTGCTGGAAAGGTAGTCAACTTCAGGAGGGAAAGGGGAAGAAATGAAGATTATACAATGAGGACAAGTTACCCATAGGGGGTTCAGAGTTCAGGTGTGATAAGATAAGTATTTCAAGTTCAGGAGGCTATGCAAAACTTTAAAGTCCTCCAGTAGGTTATTTGATTTGCTACGTACTGTTTTTAACAGGGACTATTCCTGTATAAGAATGTATATGTCTCTGTATTTGTCTCTTGGGAAGGGGGTGCAGCTCTCAAGGGAAAAAAATGGATTCTCTACTTATCCCATCATTTAGAGAGGACCTAGGAGTGTCAGGTCCTTTGTCAGATGCTCTTTTTACTCTGTTTAATTTCTTTGGTAATTCTCAAGTCAGCATGTTTAGCATGAACAGTGCTTTCTTCATCATACCTGGGAAAACGCACCATTAAGTTGGCAAAGTTTTGTTTCTTTTACATTAGGAACAATTTATTTGCAGAAATGAATCCAGTTGAAACTTAACTTCTTCATGTGTTTGATAGGAATGGCCACAAGTTCTATTCATTGTTCTAATGCAGAGAAGAATCTAATTCCTGTTGATCAATTTCTTAGATGCTGAGATTTTTTTTCTCCATCTAACTATCTTTACTATTTCTATTTGTTGTCCATACAAGATTTTTTCTTATGAAAAATAGCATAATAAATCCAACTTAGAGCCACAGATTTGTCTGTGAGTCATTTGCCATAATTTCTCTTGCTTTCATTTCAAACAGCACAATTTAAAACCTTAGGAAATGGCTATATGTTCCAAGACAGGACATCAGAACTTCAAGCTTGTGACCACTGAATCATAAGCTGGTGAATTATAGCTAACTTTTTGTCCTAAGAAAGGACTTTCCTCTAGAAAAATCATTCTTAATGTTATGAATCCTAATAAAATCCTAATAAAAGATAGGATAGATAACCTCCCCACATTTTAACTTCCTTCATTAGCTTTTGATTCCATTGCATAAAATATTTTTAACTTCTCATTTAGTGCTCAATGACAATTCATCTTTGTAATAGAGAATAACATTTGTGAAAGAAGCCTCATGTTTGTAACAGTTGCTATTTTGGAATTGGAATTTATTTATATATATACACACATACACAAACATATAATACACATAATGTGGACATATCCTTTTAGGCCAAAATACAGTAGCTCTTCACAGGAAGTCATAGCATAGAAGGTTATAGAAAACTGCCTCCAGCCCTTGTATGTACCTGATAAACTTGGAAACTCTCTAAAAGGCCGCCCTCTATAATTAGCTTTGTCACATGCAACCATTTATATTCTTTTTTTACATACTACTTTTGGAGACTAGTATAATTTAGTTGGAAATTACAGTCTCACAGGCTGTCATAGTATTCACTATCTTCCAGAATCAGTACAAAGTACTGTTAAAAGAGCGTATCTGAGCCCCATTAATATTGGCTTAGTTATTTAGATTGGTGCAAAAGTAACTGTAGTTTTGGACCATGCATTTTAAATCATTATAACTAGGCTCAAACACATCTTTATTAATCAAAATAGGAACCATTACAACCAACACGTTTTTGCCAACGAGAAATAAGTTTGTTCCTGCAGCGTAAAAATCCGTGCTTCGGTATTCAGCAAACTCTTGGAAAACGTTTTCTGCATCCTGCTGGTTATGGAAGTGTTTTTCCTGCAAAAAGTTGTCGAGATGCTTGAAAAAGTGGTAGTCGTTTGGCAAGAGGTCAGGTGAATATGGCAGAAGAGGCAAAACTTCGTAGCCCAATTCATTCAACTTTTTGGTTGTGTGACCTGCGGTCAGGTGTTATTGTGGAGAATTGGGCCTTTTCTGTTGAGTAATGCGGCTGCAGGCCTTGCAGTTTTCAGTGTAGCTCCTGAATTTGCTTAGCACACTACTCTCAAATATTATGGTTTCTCCAGGATTGAGAAAGCTCTGGTGGATCAGACCACCAAACAGTGACCAGGACCTTTTTTGGGTGCAACTTTGGCTTTGGGAGGTGCTTTGGAGTTTTCACTTGGTCCAACCACTGAGCTGGTTGTCACCAGTTGTTGTATAAAATCCACTTTGCGTCACACATCACAATCAGATTAAGAAATGGTTCGTTGTTGTGTACAATAAGAGAAGACGACACTTGAAAACGATGATTTTTTTAAATTTTTGGTCAGCTCATGAGGCACACACTTATCAAGCTTTTGCACCTCTCCAATTTGCTTCAAATGCTGAACAACCATAGAATGGTCGAGACTGAGTTCTTCGGCAACTCCTCGTATAGTTCTAAGAGGTTCAGCTTCAATGATTGCTCTCGGTTGGTCGTTGTCAACTTCCGATGACTGGCCACTGCACTCCTCCTCATCTTCAAGGTTCTCATCTCTTTTGCAAAACTTCTTCAACCACCACTGCACTGTATGTTCATTAGCAGTTCCTGGGCCAAATGCGTTGTTGATGTTGCGAGTTGTCTCTACTGCTTTATGACCCATTTTGAACTCAAATAAGAAAATTGCTCAAATTTGCTTTTTGTCTAACATCATTTCCATAGTCTAAAATAAATATAAAATAAACAGCAAGTAATAAGTCATTAGCAAAAAAACAGAAAGTGAGAAATGTGCATTAAAATGATGTAGAACATAACCACATTTAAGAATGTATTCCGGCCGGGCTTGATGACTCACGCCTGTAAGTAATCCTAGCACTCTGGGAGGCCGAGGCGAGAGGATCGTTGGAGCTCAGGAGTTCGAGACCAGCCTGAGCAAGAGTGAGACCCCGTCTCTACTAAAAATAGAAAGAAATTAATTGGCCAACTAAAAATATATAGAAAAAATTAGCCGGGCATGGTGGCACATGCCTGTAGTCCCAGCTACTCAGGAGGCTGAGGCAGTAGGATCGCTTGAGCCCAGGAGTTTGAGGTTGCTGTGAGCTAGGCTGACGCCACAGCACTCTAGCCCGGGCAGAGTGAGACTTTGTCTCAAAAAAAAAAAAAAAAAAAAAGGAAAGGAATGTATTACAATATCAAATGGAAAATTTCAACAATGCTAAAACTGCAATTACTTTTGCACCAACCTAATAACATGAAGCTTGGTATTACATATTCAGTAATGACGTTGAATATTTATTTCTTTTAACAAGAGCTAGGAATGATATTAATTTGGGCATTTCTAATTTTTCTCTATTGCCTATATGTTTTTCTTTGCTTCTGTTTTTGGACATAAATTAAGGTTGAGAAGAGAAGGTTGAAGGCAGCCTCGACAGACCCTACATTACTGCTCTACACTTAAGTCATCCCTGCATAGGAGGTTAACTGGTATATGGAAAGCTTTTGGGGTTTTTATAAATTACTAATATTTTAGCTTCTGTTTTACCCATAAAACTAGCATGACCGTGTTAGTTATGAGTATTTTCCCCCTGGGAACTAGTCTGTGGGGAACCAAGGTCTGATCACTCTTTGTAATCCTTTGCCTTCCAAATACGACATCTGGCCTTAGAAAAAAAGAACTGTGTTCACAAGCCTGGACGTTCTGTTGGAGTCAGGATTAGAGGAAGGGGATCTCTGATTAGAAAAGTGGCTGTCACTTAAGGAGAAGCAGTTATTTTAGAGATTGTATGGATTGTATTCCCATCACTTGTTTTGACAGAATACTGGTCTCTTCATATAACATGATTTTTTTTTTTACTCCTTTCCAGAATGTAGAAGCCGACAATCCTCTGCTTCTTGCCACTCTGTTAAACCAAACTCTTCAGTGTCATCAACTGTGACGCCAGAAAATGGGACAACTAATGGATACAAATCAGGATTCACTCAGACAGGTATGGGGTATTTTCTTTTGGCATTTCAAGCAGCAGGTGTATATTTAATGAGGCATTTTTAAGCTTACTGTTGGCTGGTTTGAATAGAGATATTTCAAAGTAAAAGTATTACTTGAGTTACTATTAGAATTAGAACTCAGCGTTGAGATGGCTTAGTCTGTGGTTGGCCAGGACCCAAGTCCCAACAGTCCTGCCAGTGTTAGGCAGGAGATGGAGAAAGGAACTGAAAATTGGTAGGGAATTTATCTCAAACATAGGATCTGATTCTAGGGGAGACTGACAGCAGGCAATAAGTAGAAATTCAGACATGAGGGATGTCTGCATCAGAGCTATCAGGTCAGGCTAGTACTGGGGACACCCTCATGAAGACTGGAGCCCAGGAGAGGGCTTTAAGCCCACAGAACATTATAGGGGTCATGTACCATCTGGGATACAAAGTAAGGTCCAAGGTAAGATTGTGGATTAAAACAGATGAATACAAGATAGGGGCTTGGTTACAAATAACCAGATAAAATCTTAGTGCCTGAAACTAGGTTACAGTATCAGGTCAGGATCAGCACAATGGCAGACCTGATAGCAGATAAACTACTAGGCTAAGGTTTCTAAAAATTCCTCCAGTAGAGAGCACAGGCCCAGGCCCTAAGGTCAGGATGAGACTCCAGGTGGGACCTAATGTTTCCAAGTGGCTGAAGGGCTGGAGGGCTGTAACTGAAAAGATCACTGCAGATAATATTTGAGAAAATTACTCAGAACCAGTCTCACTGATATCTTAGGCAAGAAGGAAAGTATTTTAAGAGGATTGTTTTCCAGTTCACTTGTTTTTGAGAAATACCATTTGAGCTGTCTGATATGCAAACTTCCTACCATATGTGCTTTCCCAGTGTCCACTCAACCACAAGTTGAAAAGAAGGTCTGCTCAGCAGACGTCTTTCAAATTTATGTGAAATTCTGGTGAGCTAGTAAATTGTTTCTGTTTTTTTCAAGATGGAAATGATTATTAGAATATGTTAGCAACAATAGCAATGATAATAAGGCTAAATTTATTTAGGGACACTTCTTGCTATGTGCCCATACCCAGCTAAGTCCACCTGATCTGATCCTGGATGAGAAAAAAGTCTAACTTGTCCGGAAGATTTAGATAGAGGCTGTGACCTAAGAGGAGACACCGTTTCTCTTTAAAATAAATGAAAGATAATCATGTCACTAGGTATTCAAGAAAGAAAAAAGTTGGCGATTTGCTCCTGGCATTGAAAGATTAGCCATTATTACATTAATGACAAAACTACATGTCTCTCCTACGATATTATTTTAGTAATTTGATCAATTCCATTTTTCTGCCATTAGATCTTGGGACTATGAAATATGATTTTTCAAACTACAGTGTTAAAAGTTAATGTATACGTCATTCTAACAAAAATTTATCAAATGTATTATGGTCTAAGAATCTGATTAGATGCTGTTAAGACAGGGTTCCAGTGACTGATGACTGCAATATTTTAAAAACCACTCATATAAGGGATTAAAGAATAATAAAACAGTTGCCTTACCTAAAAGGGAGAAGAGGATATATAAATAACCAGTTGTACCTGAAAATAATGAAAAGATACTAAAATGTTAATAAGCAGTAATACAATTTTAATAATACCAGCAAATACACTGTGAAGATAAATTTTGCTCTGAAAAAGGAAATCAAGATTCAGGCTTTAGCAAAGGTGCCCCAGTTATCATCATGAGACACAGGCAAGGGAGGGAGGGAGAGGTGCTGACCAACTCATAGTTGACAACACAAGTGATTAAGTGTTATGCCAATGTTCTTGTGTGTCCCTTGTGGAAGTATAAGTGGTACTCTAACCATGAAATTAGTTATTAACAATTTTAGGTGCAATCCAGAGGCTTTGCATCTAAAACTTTCATAGTGATGAATTATATTTATAGATTATTCAACAATAATTTCTTTCTTATGACACATGTTGAACATAATAGGCTGTAAGAATTTCATGTTAGCATTATGATATCATTGCAAACATTTGGGTATGTAGCATCTCCTTAACTGATAGATGGAGATGCACCTTTCTCTAGATTGCCTTCTGTTTAATCTTAATCTGTAGTCAGTGACTGCCTGTAATCAACATTTCTTAGCCTGAAATGTGGGTACACACATTGCATAGTATTTGAAGAAGGGATTAATTTATAATTTACACAACTTTGTCTTTTTTTTTTTTTTTTGAGACAGAGTCTCACTCTGTTGCCCCAGGTAGAGTGCAGTGGCATTATTCTACCTCACTGCAACCTCAAACTCCTGGGCTCAAAGGATCCTCCTACCTCAGCCTACTAAGTAGCTGGGACTGTTGACACTAATTTTTTCTATTTTTAGTACAGACAGGGTTTTGCCCTTGCTCAGGCTGGTATCGAACTCCTGACCTGAAGCGATCCTCCTGCCTCAGCCTTCCAGAGTGTTATAATTACAGGTGTGAGTCATTGCTCCCAGCCAACACAGCTTTTTCTTGAGTTCCACCTGCCAAGCTCTGGATGTTCTGCTCTGGCTAGCTTGCCACTTATCCCTTGCATATTTTCTCTTAACATTTTTATGTCATTAATAATTCACATTTTAGTCACTAATCTCAGTGAAATATTTTATCATTTTTACTAAAGGTAGCTATATCTTTACCTACACTACACACACATGCTCTCCCGCACCCCACACACATACACATGCACGTATTGTGTTTAATCAGGGCAGGAATTAAAAAATAGATGAAAAAGAAATCTTTGCCTAACCCAAGATCTTGAAAATTTCCCTGTTTTCTTCTAAAGACTTTATAGTTTTAACTCTTGCAGTTAAGTCTATGAGCCACTTTGAGTTAATTTTTTTATATGGTGTGAAATGAGAGTCTAAGTTCATCTCTTTGCATGTGGATATTCAGTTGTCCCAGCACCATTTATTGAACAGACTATCTTCTTAAATCTTGTCAGTGAATTTCATTTGTCAAAAATCAACTAACTTAAATATAAGGATTTATTTCTGTAAAAATTGATAAAATGAACCTCTTCAAAATCTGAAACTTTTGTACTTCAAAAGACACCATTGAAAATAAATTAAATGTAGTATATATACACAATGAAATACTATTCAGCCATAAAAAAAAGAATAAAATCCTCTCATTTGCAGAAACTGGAAGTCATTATGTTAAGTGAAATAAGCCAGGTATAGAAAGACAAATATTGCGTGTTCTCAATTATTTGTGAGAGCTAAAAATGTTCATTTCATGGAGGTAGAGAGTAGAATGAAAGTTACCAGAGGTTCTGGGTGGCAGGGTAGTGAAGAGAGGTTGGTGAATGGGTACGAACATACAGTTAGATAGAATAAGTTCTAGTGTTAACACAATAGCAACCATAGTTTATTATATATTTCAAAATAGCTAGGGGAGAAGATTTGAATGTTCCCAACACAAAGAAATGATAAATGCTTGAGGTGATGGAATCCTAATTACCCTGATTTGATTATTACACATTATATGCATGTATCAAAATATCACATGTACCCCATAAATATGTACCAATTATATATTATTATGCATCAATTAAAAAGATATCATTAACAAAATAAAAAGGCAAACAACAGACTATGAAAAAATATTTGTAAAGCACAAATCTAATAAAGCATTAGTATCTAAAATTTACAAAAAAACTCTTACAACTCAATAATAAGATGACAAACAACCCAATCAAAACATGGGCAAAGGATTTGGAATGGACATTTTTTCAAAGGATGTATACAAATGGCTAATAAGCACATGAAAAGATATTCAACATCATTAGTCATTAGGGAAATGCAAATCAATAATGAGATACCACATTATACCATCTAGAATGACTGTCATAAGAAAGACAATAACAAGTGTCTATGGATGTAGAGAAATTAGAACCTTCATACACTGCTGATAAGAATGTGCTGGTAAAATGTGGCAGCCACTTTGGAATACAGTGTGGTAGTTTCTGAAAAAGTTAAATGTAAAACTACCTTACAACTCAGCAATTCCACTCCCAGGTATCCACCCAAGAGAAGTGAAAACATATGTCCTCACAAAAACTTTCATGTAAAATGTTCATAGCAGCATTATTTATTATAGTCAAAAATTGGAAAAAAACTAAATGTCAATCAATTTGTGAATAGATAGACAAAAATGTAGTGTATCCATACAATGGAATACCTTTCAGCAGTAACAAGGAACAAACTATTGCCACATGCCGTATCATGGGTGAATCTTAAAAACATTGTTAAGTGTAAGAAATCAGATAAGAGACCAAATATTGTATGATTCCATTTATATGGCATGTGCAGAAGAGGCATTTAAATTCATAGAGACAAGAGGTAGATTAGTGTTTGCCTGGAGCAGGGGTTGGGAATGGAGGTTAACAGAAAATGGGCGTGAATGAAGGTTACTATTGGAGGAATAAAAATGTTCTAGAACTGATTTATGGCAGTGGTTGCACAACTTGATAAAGTTACTAAAAATCATTGAATTGTATACTTGAAATGGGTACCTTTTATGATATGTAAAGTATACCTTAGTTAAGCTATAAAAATAGATTTAAAAGTTGTTCTGAGAAAATCATAATCCTTCGGGGCGGCACTATTCTCTTTCAGTTCAATACAGTCTAATTTATTGAGAATCTCCTGTGTGGTGAGCACAGTTTCAGAACAGAAGGTATATGGCACAGGACTTGGAATCAGAGTCCCAATATTCAGATGCTGCACCTGATTATACTGCCTGAGGCTTGGATAAGCCACTCAATTTTTCTGTACCTTGGTTTCCTCATTTGTAAAATCTAAAATTAACACCAGTTTTGCAACCTTGTGACAACTGACTTAGACTTGCTACCATGCTTCTACTGTGTGACTTTGTTTCTGACTACAATTATTTGCTAACCATCTGTATTCTCTGTATGCTGGGAGCTGTATGTTCATTTTGTTTATCTCTGTATCTCCTAGTACCTGG